CATCCTAGAGAGGGTTAAACCAGGCTACTCCTTGGAGGCAAAGATTCTGGGGCTTCATCTGACATACTTTGGACATGTTGCAAGGAGAGACAGGTCTTTGAAGAAGGACATCATGCTGGGTAGAGTAGAGGGACAGGTGTGTCAGAGGCAATGCGATTGGCACAGGATAGAGCAGGGTTTAGTGCTGTTGTACATAGCGTCGCTATGAGTCGCAAACGACTCGACGGCACATAACAACAACAACAACAACAACAACATGGGGCATTTCTGCTCTGTCCAAAAGGGTCCTATGAATCAGATTTGCCTGAGTGGCAATAGATAACCATTTATCAGCTAAGATTGGCCCTAGTTATTTCAAATAATAATGAACACAACACTTTAAGATTTGGCAATAATACAATGAGATATAAAAAAATTATCTGTGATATCTATTGATTACAGAACTACACATATTGCTGCTGCTACTACTGTGGTTTGTTGCCTGTATTTGTAATTGAGGAAATGCTAAATTTCAAGTAGAAGGTGGGAAAAATAAAGGCATAATTGCTTCCTGTGCTGGTTTACAGACATGGATTTTTTTCCCTATGGATTCCAGGTTAAGAACTGGGGAAGCACTCACCCCTTAGAGAAATTAACTACTTAAAGTCAAAAGGGCAGCATTTTGCCCAAAGAAGTCATAAAAGAAAGGGTAGGATAGAAGGGTTAATGGAAATGAGAATCACAGACAGGATATTTTAATTAATGTTATAAAATTTATATATGGATGGAAAATGAATAGGTTTACAAGTTTTCACTCACATCACAGTTGTTGTTTTTTTAGGAAGAACCCTTCCTAGAGCTTGATCAGTGTGTGAGTCCTTCAGCCGCAGCGGCACCCGCAGGAGTGTGGCCACTGCCCAGTAGACCAGCACCAGCTTCTATGACCCAGGATACATCTAGGTCAGGCTGATAGATCCACCTGGAAAAGAAACAACCAGTTATCCTTAGATTCATTCAGTGTGTTGCTTATATTGTGGTGGTGGTGGTGGTTGTTATGTGCCATCAAGTCAGCAACACATAGTGACCCTATGTACAACAGCTCTGAATCCTGCTCTATCCTGAGTCAACCTTATCATCTCTGACAGACCTACCCTGACTACCCCAATCACTGAATCAATCCACTTCATTGATGATCTTCCTCCCTTGCACTGACCCTCCACCCTCCCAAGCATGATGTCCCTTCCCTCTCCAAGGACTGGTCCCTCCTTTCTATAATTATATTTTATTAATTTTCATAAACATTTACAGAGATTTTGGGTTTCCATTCATTCACCGCTGCACCATTC